TGCCGTGAGCTGAGGGCGGAAGCTGGGCTTTGCCTGCTGTCACTGTGGCCGAGTCCTGTGTCATTAACTCTAAAACGGGAGGCTGAGGAGGAGTAAGAGGAGTTGCCTGGTAGAAATGAGACGGGCAGTGCCAGCACGTAACTGGTGGCATCCCAGTGCTGCAGGCCCTGCATGGGGCCGGTGACTGATGAGGGGCCATAGCCCAGGACGCCTCACATGGTCAGGCACCTTCACATCCCGCAGTGCTACAGGCACCCAGGGCCTTGCACCTCAGAAGGGGCACCTGATGGGCTGGTGGGCTCTGTGCTGTCCCCCAGTTCAGGGTCTCTCACCCCAGACTCACTGCCCTGTGCTGGGTTCTGTGGAGGTCAGCCTGGCTCCGCCCTCGAGGGATTCAAGGACCAGCCGTTCTGGACTATACCCTGGTCCCAGACTCCGATAGAGACCATGAGGCCCTCAGGGAGTCTGTGTGACTGACCTGGAGCGTCGGGCCCTGGAAGACAGGGTCGGTCAGAGAGTGAGGGACGCAGACTCCTGGGAGGTGCTCTTTGAAGCTTGGAGCACAGGAGTGGCAGGCCTGGCTGGGTGGTGTTGCAGCAGTGTGAGCTGTGAATGGGGTGAAGGCTGTGGAGCCAGGAGGGTCGGCCGGGGTGACCACCCTGAGTGGACTGTCCACGGGCTGTGTGAGCTGACACCGCCCCCACATAAGGGGCTATGAAGAGCAGGACCATGGGAGGAAGGACGGAGGGCAGGCGGTACCTCTGTAACTGCTGGTTGTTAAGAAAACCCTCAGAAACCTGGACCACCAGATGCTGGTGGGCTGGGGGTGGTCCCTCAAGGAGCCTTTTCTTAGTCGGGACTGCATGAGATGGCGACACACATGAGCCCAAGCCAAGCCCAGGGTCACTGGGTTGATTCCAGCTTACGATGACCCTAGAGGTCAGAGGCCCATTGGACCATTTGCTCCCACAACGAGGGGCTCGAACCACTGACCTTTAGGCTAACAGCTGAATTCTTTTGCCTCTGTATCCTCAACCAAAATCCCACACACACTGCTGCTGTGCTAGTTTTGATGAATCAGAAAGATGTGGGCTTTAACTGGATGAGGCTGCCCAGATTTCTTCAGAGGATCTGCTGGTGTGTTTGAACAGCTGACCTTTTCGTTAACAACTGAATTACTTAATTACACTGCTATCAATTAAAAACCAGGAGCCCTAGTGGCCTTGTGGTAAGGAGCTGCGCTGTCTACCTGAAGGCCTGTGGTTCGAATCTGCCAGCAGTTCCAAGGGAGAGATGGGTGGTCCCCTCCCATGCCGTTAACAGCCTCTGAAAACCTGCTGGAGGGTCGGCTGTGAGTCACTTCTGACTTGATGGTACAGAACAGTGCCACTGAGTCAAAGCCAAGTCCGCTGACCGTCTGAAGAGTTTAGAAGGTTGTGGATCACACAGGAGATTACCCATTTTTGACCCTGGGAACTGCTCCTGGATTAAAAAAGTGAACCACACAGCTCTCTACAGAGTTTGGTGCCCGAGCTCCCAGTGTGCACCACCCCTTAAATTCAGCAAGGGTGGGAGAACAGTCCCAGAGAACGAGGTGGACCCCGTTAGAGGGAGAGAAACCACACAATGACGTGGATCCCGTTACAGGGAGGGAGAAACCACACAACGACGTGGATCCCGTTATAGGGAGAGAAACCACACAACGACGTGGATCCCGTTACAGGGAGAGAGAAACCACACAGTGACGTGGACCCCGTTACAGCGAGAGAAACCACACAACGACGTGGACCCCGTTACAGGGAGAGAAACCACACAACGATGTGGATCCCGTTACAGGGAGGGAGAAACCACACAACGACGTGGACCCTGTTACAGGGAGAGAGAAACCACACAACGACTTGGACCCTGTTACAGGGAGAGAGAAACCACACAACGAC